GGGAAGGGAGTGTCTTCGTTTTTAGTTTTAAGTTTTAGTAAGTATTTTACGGCACTTGCAACACAATAAGGTCATATAAGTGCCGAAGATTAGAGATGTTACAAGAGAGTAACAAACACAAAAAAGGAGGAGGGGAGATAAGGAAAACAGTTGTTTGATAGGAAAGAAGGAGCAAATCACACCAGAGCACCCGCCAACCACCCACCGGAGTGTCTTCGTTTTCAGAAGAACATGAGAGATGAGCAAAGTAATCATCAGCCCCCCTGCGCCATAATCTAAAGTGGTACCCTCCACCGTCAACATGAATTGTGAGACAATCTCCTCCACACCTCAGTCTACCACACTCCACCTCACCCACAAACCCCGGGTCGTGCATACACTTTTCATTAGTCCTGTCAATAATTCTATTTATAACCTCTTTGCCCCGAGTCATAATCTCCGCCATGATGGAACGCCTCTTTCCGGTGTCAAAATGACGTCATACACCAGCCAGGGAGGCGTTCACAAGTGTACTCGAAGTACCCTCCTACACGTCACGTTTATGGCCGCACCGCCAATGAACGCATATATTTTTGAAATAATCTTAGGTGTGAAGATACCAATGTTGTGTGACTTTGGACCATAAAAGTGGGGAATGAGGTGCGGAGAGTAAAATGATAAAGCGAGACACTCTTTATACTTATAGAGTTTGTCTTAGTTTTACTAGTATGAGCTTTACGACCCTTAATAAAACACAAATATGTCAGTCACTTATTAAGTGTTGTAGATTAGAGGGTGTTACAAAAGAGTAACATACAAAGAAAAGAAGGATGTGCGCGTAAGTGTGAATGTTTGTGAGTGTGTTTGTATGTGTGCATGATTGTGAATGTGTTTGGGTGTGTTTGTATATGCGCGTGATTGTGAATGTCTGCGAGTGTGTTTGTATGTGTGCATGATTGTGAATGTTTGTGAGTGTGTTTGTACGTGCGCATGAATGTGAATGTGCGTGAGTGTTTAATTGTGTGTTCTCAGGTATGAATGTGTGGGAGTGTGTCTGTCTATAAAGTAGTAAGATGCCTCTCTACCATGGTCGAATTTGTCAGAGGCGATCTTCGGAAACATTGAGTTAAAAGGCCAATAATCCATTTTTGTTACAGTGTCATTGGTTTGAGTGATTACTTCCCTTTGCACACAACGGCTTCCTTGGTTGCACTGTGTGTGTGTGTGTGTGTG